GAGGGAAAACCCTGGCGACCCCAGGCAGGGAAGGGAACTGGACGATAGCAAGCAAAGCAAGAGGGAGACAACGTCCACAGAAAAGAAAAAGCAGACAAAGACGGTAGCACAGGGACGGAGCGGTGGGATGGTTGGAGACGATCTTCACCTCTGTCTGCCTCCTCGTCCACACTGAGGGAAGATCTGCAGCGCTCAGGAGTGCAGGTACACACACGCACTCTGATTCAGTCATGAATACACAAACACACACATGGGCACACACATACACACAGACAGGTCCCCCTTGTACCTGAACCGGTCTAGTAGGTAAAGCATCACCGCCACCACATGCACCGATAGACCCACCAGCAGCCACAGCGTGCTTTGGAACGGCTGCATGAACGAGTCCAGTGTACTGCGAGGAATTTCCTGAAAACACACAGCGCAGCACGTTATTGATTGTTAACAGACTCAAACCATTATCTCACGTTTGCATATCGCAGACAAACATGAAGGAAAATACTTCTTCTTGTACATTTGACAGTTTTACAGAACATTTCCGATGCACAGATTCCCTATAACTAACATTTGAACACCATGGCTGCATGCAGTGGTGATATGAACGAAATTTGTTCACTTTGTTACTGTACCAAAGTACATTTTTTATGTTTCTGTACACAAGTAGATTTATCTCCGGCTTCCTCCCACAGTCTGAGCTGGGATTGGTTCTATAGCTCCCTACACGACCCTCAAAGGATAAGTGGTATAGATAATGGATGGATGAGGATATGTTTTCCTCTCAGCTTTTTGTCTGAGTTGTAGAAAACAAGGTATAAAATAGCAGGTTGCCTGTATGTGAGATTTGTGCTGTGGATGAAGCACAGGGATCAAAATTGTCTCGGTGGGTTTGGTGATTGCACAGCGGGACGGTACACGTCTGACGTGATGGAGCAGCAAACAGGCCACTTACCTTTTTAACGAGGATGGTGAGGCCTTGATATTTAAAGGGTTTGGAGAACTCGATGTACTGGGCTCGCTCGTTGTTTATAGTCAGCGGGGCCACAATCATGTCGGCCAGGCCCCCCAGGAGCTCTCCCATCATGCCATTCCACTCTTTCTTGTTACTGTTGTTCACCTGGAGCCCAGAAAAGGAAGGTGTTAGAATGAGGATCAGCGACACAACCTGCTGTCGTCTAGACCGCAGCATGTTTCCACGTTGTAAGGATTTGGGTTAAGCCTAGTGGGGGTGGGTCTGCTTCACAGCTTTGAAACTGTCATCGTCTTACATAACAGACAGATTGGCGCTTTTCTAATTAAAATCATGCACTGCACAACAACACAAGAATCAAATGTCATGCTCGTTATTCTCATCCAATAAATTCTGGGTTAAATTGGATAGAAAATCCTGCAGGATTTTAAGCAGTTTATATTAAAATCACAGGGGTCTGCAGAGGTTTGTTTCCGTCTCTGTCTTTACGGTTGAATAAAGGTCGTTTAATTGACATTTTCACCACTTCCCCAGAGAATAATTCATGGATCTTGACGAATAAGAAATCAGGTACATGAGAGAACTGGTGACGAAGAGAAAAGTCCATCACTGACGTCACTGAAGTTTCAAGCTGCTGTTGTTTGTTGCTAAGGAAACATTCTCCTTTTTCAAGTTAGCGATGTTATGGCCCTTTCATAATGAAAGTAATTGCAGTCGCTGCTTGTCTAATGCTTTTGTGTGGATATAAAAACCGGCTCTACATCAAAATGCAAAATGCAGATTCACCCTCTGGACATTTGACGTGTGTGGATCTCTGCTCTACCACTGCTTATCACCTCACATCCGCATAGTTAGTGAGATCAAAACTGTTAGTGGAGTAAAATAAAACCATTAAAAACAAGTATTAACATGTGACATATTTCATGCAACCTGTGCAACGTCATGCAGAAATATAACAAAATAAATATGTTGACAATAAAACTGACCCGCTCCTGAGTTCCGAACTTCCCATCAGCCACCAGGTGCACCTCATAGGTAAAGTTCATGGTCATAGCTAGCTTGATCAGGAGGTCGATACAGAATCCGTAACAACACTGGGGTACGATTGGGCGACCTGTAGAGAAACCAGCAACGGTTGCACGTTAAAATCTCTCAGGGGGGAAACGCGTGAGATTTTTCTTTAATCCAAAGGCGGCGGCGCACGTAGACTGAACACGGAGGATGCGTGACACACGGTGCACTGCAAACAACCACACACACTCACACTGCACACGGCACACAGACGAAGCATGTCCCAGCACCTCAGCAACCACTCACTCTGAATGGCACACTCAGCTACATGCATACATATATAGATACCTACTGCATATATATGTATGCATCTCCAGTGGGTGTTTGGCGAGTGCAGTAAAAGCACAGTGATAATATAAACGTCCCTGAAGTGTTACCTGGGATGGTCTCATTGGGCCCAGTGCAGATAACCTTTTTAATTAAGACTCCATTCAGTGTCATCTCCTCGTGGCACGTTCCATCCGGCATAGTCGGCTTCACGTACACAAATGGCTCCTGGTGTATCGTCACGATCTACGACAGATGGGACAGAGAGCTGTTTAGCCATTGGAGCTTGATCTGATCAATCCCGGAGGACTTAAAGAGCGCTGCAGCGAGAGGGGGGCAAGAAAACACTTGGAAATATCCCAACAGGATCACAAATACTGCCACATACACACTCCTACATACTCAGGATGAAGGGATGAGTGTAAAAATAACTGAGGGGAGGCCTTTCTCCGGCCTAGGAGAAATTTGAAGAGATACAGGTCACAGCCGATATATCACCGCTGCCTTTATTAACATGGATGAGCTTCACTCCTCTCTGAGGGATAAACGTTAACGCACTGTCCAACACGAGCACATGAGCCGCAGCCTCGTACTCGATCCGTGTCGACACGGACGTCACATCGCAGCAGCACAGTGAAGGTACGCTACCTTTAATCGAGTGGACATCTGGAAGCCCTGCGGTTTCTCCGTCTCTCCTCCGGGCCAGATGATCTTCCTCTGATTGTTCATCACCACCTGCAGGGACGCCACACGAATGTAAAGTAATGTAGGTGAGCGGTGGCAGAAGGCGAGCTGCTGATGAGGCTCCAACACAGGGTGAGCTTCACTAATGAGTCAGCTTTATATAACCACCACTCAGCGCTCCTTTTATTTTATCACGTCGACCTTTGACTTGTGTCTTAGACCAGAGGGTTTCACCGACTTATTATTACCACAGCTATCACCGGGAAACCCCGGCCAATTTAATCACCAGCATTAACTACAAATGGAATGTAATTGGATTGATTGATACTTTATTGATCCAGAGGGAAAAGTAATAAAAATAATCTTAACAAAAGGTTCTTTAATGAGCTTTTACCGGAACATCTGCTCATAGGGATCATTTTGAAGTGAATGAACCCAAACTATTTTTTAAAAAGATATTTATAATTTATGTTTATTTTGTGTTTTAATTCTTGGATCAGGGAATTTGTGACTAACAGATGTTTTTACCTCCACACACGAGGGAAAGTTTTTCACAAAATGAACTGTTAATTTCAAAAGTCTTCAGGCAACACTTTCATGCTTAAATAAAACTGAACGGACCTCTAAACAGTAAATCTCGGGTTCAGAGATGACGGCCGTCACACTCTCAGGAGTGAATCAGACATGAAACTTTCAAGCGGGTGGGGAAGTGTAACACTTTTCAGCCTCATCTTATTTTGCTCTTTAGCCACTTAAGCTCCTTTCTCTCCACTTTCTCTCACCCTTTTAGAATCCATCTAAATTTGATGCAAGTTTCAATTCATCAAGGTGATAAATATTTGAAATCCCCCTCATTCACACACTGTCTGGTCTGCGGTGAATTGCAGAGTTGTCCTACAGTAAGTGCATTGTGCTATAGATAGAAAACTGGGTCTGCATGTCCAGTATGAATTTTAAAAAAGAGGATGTCATGGTGTAGGTACAGTGAAACCTACTTATGGACAGGGAGCAGAAACTAAAGAAGACATTTTAACTTTAAATTCATTTAAAATCACGCCTCGAACTCTCAGTTCTATCAAATGGTTTCTGTTTACCTGTGTTCCGTTGTAGATGCCGACTTGTATGAGTCGAGTCTTCTGGTAGTTGAGAATACTGTAGTGAGCGTACTTCCTGTCGCCGTCGTCATTGAATTCCACGCGCCCGGTGAGGCCCTCTGGGTATTTGGATGACATCAGAACCCTGTGGCGAACGATTACGCGTGTGAATGAGTACACACTTGTTCATGCATGGATATCCTATGCCACCTATTAGGAACGCAGCAGTGCGTTTGGCTGTGTATCATTCAGTGCAGTCAGAGCGTAACGAATAAAGAGCATTTAGACATTTGAAACCAGCTTTTCTTGACCTGAGAAATTTGGGGACACGTGAAGTTGAAGTCTTAAGCCAGAAACAAACCTATAATAATAATAGAAAGATGAACTTTATGTATACAGTACTTTCCATGGTAGAAAATGCAGTTCAAAGTTCAATACTGTAACGTAGTCTCATAGAACGGTTCCCATGTTACCTGAAAAGTTATGCAAAAGTTTCGTACCCTAACCCTAACCCTCTGAGGTATGAGACGTGATATTTCACTATCTGTGCTCAGTCTTACCGTTTAAAGAGGGGCCCCGTCTTCCAGATGTTGGTGTTGCCCACACATCCTCTCGGAGGCTCCGTGATGTTTTCCTTCTCAAACAGCTCCTGGATGGACTGAGCCACCACAGCCACCGCGTCATTGATGTGGGCCGACTCGTTCTTCCCGTTGATGAGCTGGAGGCCGATCAGACCTGAGAGATCGGGCCGACAACACACAATCACCAACCTGAGCCAACTACGGCCTCCCTGGATCCTTTTGCAATGCACAGAGTGGGAAAAAACTTATAGGGCTTTAGACATCCTGAATAAAGGTCAGACATCAGGTGTGTGATCCACCATTACTCAGAAAATCTCTTGTATTTTAATGAAGTTAAATAAACGGATCACTTTTCTGATGTCGCCACCGATTGACCTTTTCGCAGCATGTATAAAGACGCCCTTGAAGTTGGATCTCTTTTCTTTTGAGTATTGGGGCAAAGCATCACAGGAAATCTGTGTCGGGACGGAACAAAAAAACAAAAAATAGCACCAGACCTAAATTTAAACCAAGCAACAATCCAACTTCAGCTAAGTTTTCTGATTGCAACCAGGTCCATCGGTCTCGCAGACTCTCGGGAGAAGCTGCAGAGGAGGTGGATGAGACGAGACACGGACAGGACAAAGAAAATAAAACTCTTCGGGGGTTTGGTTTGTGTTTGAGTGGCTGGAAGAAAAGACGATCAACGTTTGTGACCAAGAAGTGACAAATTATTGTGAGGAACTTGTGCAGTAGAAAAGAAAACCCAGGAACAAAGAGATAAAGAGGCTGTTGTATCTTACCATTCTATCAGTTACCTGTTCCAAAACTCTCCCTTTATAACTCATTAGAAACCAGCGTATTAATATGGCAGAAGAGCAGAATGAATGAACCTTTGAATAAAGCAGCACATGCACGTTTAAACTAAAGACTGAGTGCGGACAGACCACATTTAAACCTTTAAGCGGAGAATGCTTAAACGTTTAAAGGCTCAACACACAACAAACCATTGTACAATTAATCATGTAATCGCTTTCTCTAATCCTCTATGTGTTATGATCGGCCCGGGGGGGTGGGGGGTTGACTCGTGTATTCCCGCTGATCTCCGCTGGATGAACGTACCGTCTGGCGCCTCGCTCAGGGCTTTACCCGACATCTCCCGCTCGCCCACCAGCCACACGTAGCCCGAGCCCGTCATGTTGAGGAAGCGGGCCGCCTTGTACACCGCAGCAGCGTCTTCCTCACTGGAATTGAACACGTTAAAACACACTTGACAAACCTTGAACTATTTTGGAAGCCGTCCTCTTTTGTGCACATATCTCGTATTTTGCGAACGTCTCACCTGGCGGACAGAATGATGACTCGGGCCTCCAGCTCTTTGGCCTCCAGCAGCAGGGCAGTTAAGTTAGTCTCCTGGCTGAACTGGAGGACTTTCTCTGCCTGTGATCGGGGCATAAGAAAGGTCAAGCCAGCTACTTTTCCCTGCCTCAGACACCATGCTGCCTTTTACCTGCTTGGTTCGAGCTTGGCCGATTTTGTTTGAAAACGGGAGACAGAGATAAAAAGGAGAACGATCCAGGGGAACCGGCTGAACTAAAAAAAATTAAAAAATTAAAAAAAGCTTGAAGGGAAAAAAAACTTTTGCATTTGTTCGCATGCAAACTGAGGGTTATCAAGGCTCCAAAGAAGGACGTGCATGTGTTAGGTAGGGGGAAGAAGAAGGTCAATGCAACCAGTAACTAAAAACAGGTGAAGGGGGTGAGGGGGACGTTTTCCCCCAACAAAAAAACTTGCTGAAAACTAGGGAAGTGCTACAGAACAGGAGGAAGTAGCATCTGGGAAACGGCTTCGTCCCACACTACCGGTTCTCCACAAAGGAATGGACTTGCAAACTTGTTTTGTGCGTGAGTGTGTGTGTGTGTTCTGAGTGCATGCATTCCTTTATTAAAGGAGAAAATGAAAATGATAAAAAGCGGGGGCGCCGTTCACTGACTTCTTTTTTTTCTGGAATGACCGAAAATTATAGATTTTTCATAACAAAATCATTCGTCATTTAAATCATAGGGAAATGTCTCAAAGTAAAAATAAAAAAAAACACGTGCTACCAAGAGAGGGACATTTCTGGGTCGGCTGGTGACTGGTTTGGGCTGGTTTCTAGTTGCTACGTTTGGAAAGTTGGTGGGCGGCGTGCATTGACCATGCAAATATACCTTAGGTCCTCGCTTGTTGTCATAGGACAGTTGGTCGAGGTTTTCATAGTTCCTTTTTTTATTCTGATGAGTAATGTGCACAGAGAAAATATGCAGACACAGAAAAATATTATAAACAGTTGAAAATGGAGGGCAGTAAAGCATTCCAACAAATCTCCACTTTTCTGCTTCAAATTGGGATCTTTAACAGAGGGGCTTGCAAAGAACAGCAGACGTGACCACTCATCAATAATCCTGATACCACAGATAATATAGATCAATATCCAGGCTTGAGTCATTATCAGCAATGATTCTGTGATTCCGCGGCTTCAGTCAGTTGTGTGAAATATTAGTAACGTAACATTTCACAAACATAACTGAACCAACACCGTCAAGTCCGAAGTGTCCGAACACATCAGGGAAATGTCAAAATGTCAGGAACAATCACAGCCGGCAAAAAAAGCGATCAGATTTTACAAACTCACACCATCAAGTCCAGAGTGTGACCTTTTCTGTGTGACATTTATTTGACTAAGAGCTCATTAAAAGTTTAACAGCAAAAAAACCTTCAATCTCTCCAGCCATCTGTTGACATGACGTCATTCTGGCCCCGAAGGCCGCGGCTCATTCCGCACAGTCGTGATTCACTCATCTGACCAGACACTTGTGCAACACATTGAAAGCTTGAAACCATCTTCATCTGTAAATCTTTTTTTAAATTCAACTGACACAAAGTAGTCAATTTACATTTAGCATCCTACAATCTAATGCAAAAAGTCTAAAAAGCTTCATCCCAGTTCCCATGCTCGTTCTAAATTGGTTTTGAGGATAGATGTGACAAATATTGAGCACACTAAATTAAAAATGCCAGAATTTTGAGTGAACTCTGGGATTATACTTCAGAGGGGAGGCAGGCTGTGCTCACAGGTGCAGGAAGATCTTAAAAAAATAAGCTTTAAATCTTTAAATCTTAAAAATAATGAGCTTTCTCTTTTGAAAGTTTAAGTACCCCTCTTTTCTGCAGTAACGGCTAAAACAACACAGTACTTTATGAAGATTAGACCTATATAGATCTAGCAAGCAGTGTTGGATCTGGTCACCACACAGGACACTCACTCGCTGAGCAGAATGAACTTAATTCAGACACCGCAGTTTTCACCGTCCGTGTTCTGTGAGCGGAGAAGCTCGGGGGACGGTTTCCTGTCTGGGACTGCGGAGCCATTTTGCAGGAAAATGCGTCGTCTTTCTGCTTCACGGGGTTTCTTGCACAGCTGCTTTACTTCACAGCTCACACCTCAGTGCACTCTGGGCCCGATTCCCTCCCTTCACAAAAGCCGACGCTGACCGTGCATCAGTTAACAAAACTGCTGGCTGGCGAGCACATGCACAAGGAGAAGCCGCTTCATTCACACCAAGCTGAGAGGCCGTTACACAAGCTGAGGCTCTTGGGAGCTTCGTGTCAGGCGTTTTGGTTCCATCCTTTTTTTAAATGAACCGAAACATCACAAGTATTTTCACAATAGCAAGCTGTCACTGGGGTTTTAGGTAATTCCACTTTATCCATTTCTTTAATTTGATAAATGATACGAGGTCTGTGATATTTTAAAAGGTAGAAGAACATAAACCTGCAGTATATAGTGGTAACAAGTGAATTAACACAATGGATGAGCAGAAAACAAACATTTTCTACACAGATTGTTTTTGTCTGTCGTAACACTTCACTGTGTAAATACTAAACATGATGAAATGGGTCTTTAAGTGTCCCAAGCTTGTAAACTTCCTCTCAGTGAGAACGTTCCGGCTGCACAGCGAACAAATACACCCTCTCTTTGTCTCGTTCTCCCCTAAGAGTTTTTCTGAGCGATCTATTTTTATATCCTCACAGTCAGGCATTAATATTTCATGTTGTGTTGCTCACGGTCGCTCTCTGACTAAGTCCACCGTGTCCTGAGCCTCTTTGCTGGTGCTGACAGTGGTTCCCCCTATGACCTCCTGTGTGAAGCTTAAAAAACAATAATCATGTAAATTCACCATGTTTATGCCGCACAAATTGGGTGATTGGCGAGAATCACACCTCCCTGTTTCTTAATGAGAGAATAATGTGTGGAGGCTGTAATCTGACGCACAGAAACTAGCATCGCGTACCATCGCCTACCACAATTAAAGCTGCTAATGCATTTACAGTTTGAGGTGTGACACAAACAAACCAGGCAGAGAATAAAAGTTCATCCCTCTGGTGAGGTTGTAACATAGAGGAGATGTTAGAGCAGAGGCAGAATTGAGCCAATCGGTTACCCAGGGCAACTCACCAGGGGAGGGCCCCGGAGCAAATCAAAAATCTTCTCTATGCTTCAGCACGGGTCTTCTCTACAGGAGCCGCCATGTTTTTTTTTACAGTAGAATGGAACTCAACCACTAGATGTCATTAAATTCTAGACACTGAACTGAAACACAGCAAAGAGTTTGAGAAAAAAATCTCGATGTCAACTTTTGATCAATTAGCAAAAAGAAAACATTTACGAAGGCATTTTCATTTCTTCACTTTGTGTCACTGAGTGCAGATCCGTGGGCAAAAATGCAAATGGTACTCACTTGAAATAAAATCTGCAACCGATTAAAAGTGAAGGGGTCTGAATAATGTCTGGAGCTGCTGTATGTCAGACTTTAGAGACGCAGATGCTGCAGTTGTTAGTTGGATAAATTCAGCGGATTTCAGGGCTTTGAATACACAAACTTGTCTTCCACGCTGCAGGATGTGAGCCAATACTGGATGATTTGACTCATCAGCGTTATCCTTTAAACTGCTTGGATGCGGATGCAAAATTAAACATGATTAACTGAGATGGTGAAAATGTTTTTCTAATGGTGGCTGTTGTTGATGGATGGTGATGCCAGTCACAAAACTGAAGCAGCTCGCTCCTCAGCTGTAGCTGCCTTCTGTATAACCTCGGGTGTGTGTGTGTGTGTGTGTGTGTGTGTGTGTCATATTCAACATCTCCTACGCTTCTGCTTTAATTAAATCTTTGAACCAGGACTCATTTGGTTCAGCCACACAATTACAGCAAAGAGCCCCAGAGAGGAGCGACAGAGTGTGACAGAGAGGGAAGAAGAAAAGAAAAACATATCCCAAGGTAATTCCATCTTAGTAAATGAATGGATGAAAAAGATAGCACTCCCCCCCCCCTCTCTTCCTCCCTCTCGGTTCCTAAAGGGCATCGCTGCAGTCTCAAGTCTGTTTTGGCTCAAAGAAGATCAGCATTTCACTGACCCACATACACAGCTCAGAGCTACACTTAAAATGGATGCATCAGCGGTATCTGAAAAGGCGAAAAATCATCTCCCGCATCTTATGAACATGAGTTAGCAGGGTGCAAGAAAACACAGGTCCTCGTCTCACACACACCGAGAGGAGAGAAACACCTGACTGCCACCACGGCCGCAGGTAAAACACGTGCACACACCTCAGTCTGTGATGGTTTGCAAAGCCCCGTGTTAAAGTCCACTATTTGGCTCCCACTGTGGATAGACACAGGATAATTTGGACTATGGTGAAAAGCAACGTGAAGATGAGCAAATAAACATACAAACTTTCGTCAGATTAGACCACATTAGACGCTGTTGATGTCTCTAGGTGTGTTAGCCAATGTTTAAACAACGGTGAGAAAGAGATGTTGCCACACAACAGAAAGGAAAACAGTTACATACATAGAAGAGCTTTGAGGTTTTAAAAAAGCGCGCTCGCTCGTGCGGAGCTGGAGCGTCTCACCTTGGTCTCCCTCTCCTCCAGGAGGGTCTCCAGCCTCTTTTGAGCAGCCCGCCCCTCGTGGTCGTCGCTCACGATCAGGATGATGTGGTTCCAGTTGAACTCGCGCATCAGGTCGAACCACACGTGCGCCTGGTGGGAGTAGGGAGGGACTGTCCGCAGGAAGGACAGGTGGATGCTCTGAGGAGCAGGAGACGAAGGGATGAAACACGTTCCCATAACAACTTGACTTTTAATGAATGACTCATCACAAAACGAGGACACAAACTGTCCCATAAGGCAGATTCTGGCCTTTTTAAAGGTCACTGACATCTTGTCATATATTTATAAATGTAATATATGTGTATACTGTGTCCTGGTTTGAAATGAAAGTTGGACGGTTGCCTACTGAAGACAGTCTCCTAAACCAAACCTTCACCATGGCACCACCACATCGCATGTTTCACCAGTGATGTGCAATGGTTTTGGACAGCACAGACTAATTTTGTCATCCCACAGATCGGGGCATCGGTTCAGAAAAGGCTTCTCCTTCTAAAGGGCAGATGGAGTTTGCTGTCTAATCTGTCTCAATGAAGAAATGTTTGTCCCTGCAGAGCCCTGACCTCGACCCCGTCCAACACCCACTGGATGAACTGAGACACCGGCTGTGAGCCAGGCCTCATCAGTGAAGCTCACTAAAGCTGCTGCGGCTGAACGGGAGCGAAACCCTGCAGCCAGGCTCCTAAATGTCGTCTTCAGCAAAGAAGAGGATCTGAGGATCATGACTTGTGAATTTCTACCTTTATGTTCTGTGTAGTGACAGAGCATAGACACAGAAGATTAAATGGCCGCACTCCTGTCTGTCTGTTTGTTTGATTTTTAGCAAGATTACAAGAAAACGTAATCCTGAACGGATTTCCACACAATTTGGTGGAATGATGAGACACGAGCCAAGAAAGACCTCAATTCATTTTGCAGCGCATCCAGGAATTCTTTATGGATCCTGTTTCAGTGTTGAGCCAAATAAAAATCTGTATCCAGCTGATTCAAATGTGGTTTTATAAGGGAGGCCTTTGGATCTTTGCAGAGAATGTGCCATTTCAGTTTTAGAAAAATAACATCTAATGATAAAAACAGCTTCTTAAATACCACTAGACACTTAAATAATACTAAATGATAACAGACACATTGATTTGATGAAGCTCGGGAGTGATGTCTCCTTAAAAATATGTTAAACATTTGTGTATTTTATTCATGCGATCGCTTTAAAGTCTTTTTACATTTTACTTGTTTGTGCTTCATAAAAAAATTGCTGAGGTCAGACGCATTATTAATGATGTTCTTTCAATTTCCAGCTGGAAACCCATTTAATCACCGCTCCTCTAATGGAGAGAGATGGGACATTTAATCTAAGAAGCTTTTGAAGCTGCCCCAGGGGAGCGCCGTCCTCCCTCGCTCTGCGTTCTCTCACTTCCTGTTGTCCTCTCTCTATCTCTCTGTCTTTACATCTCTCTCATCCGTCACTCACCTTGTCTGAGTAGATGGACATGCGGGTGGTGAGCCCCACCACGGGGATGCGGTAGAAGCCCGCGGTGTAGGAGACAGGCGTTGGCGTGAGGTGGTCATTGGACTGGGGAGGGTGACTCACCAGGATGGCGTAGACCTGCAGAGACGCAGAAGAAGAACACTTTGTCATTCTGGCACTGAGATGGAGTGTGATTACCTACAGTCGCACTATAGACATACAGGCATCCATTTTTAATGGTTTTCTTCTCTTCGTCTCTTTGATGATTCGTTGGGAGTTTTAAAGATTATAAGACAGAAAATAATGCTGTGTACTGAAAATATCACTTAAACACATTCAAACATGAGGAGGTTCTAAACGTGCATGATCTCGTCATTTCGCCATTTCTCATTTTGCAAGAATTAAAGCACAACAGGGATACATGTAAACAGGAAACATGTCTAACATCAAGATTAATCAAACTTTAGCATACCTTAATACAATAAAGTTGTGACCACACACAAGGAACATGTTTACAAATACATGAGGAAGAAATAAAATGTCCGTTATCAGTCCTCGTGAATCAGATCAATCTATTTTCTTCATTTTCAGGCATTCATTTTCAAAAAATACTGTTGTGACATGCTGACATTTCTATTTCTTTCTACAGTAACAACAGCATCAGCACCAGAATTATAAAAAAGATTATTTATGTAGAAAAATATTTCAGCATCAAGATTTCATCACTCAACGCTGTTAGAAGTGAAAGAGGTAAGAATGTGTTTCTCATCTTAGTTTAAGTTGGATTAATGCAAATTTATTTAAGCCCTTTCCTCTTTAGTTTTATCAACAATTAATCAAATTAATACAGACGAATGACTCCACAGATTCTGGGCTTGGGGCAGTTTTCTGCTCCTGCCTCAACTGAAACATCTGTTTTTTTGTTCCCGACCTCAAGATGAAAATTGCACATATTTTAAAAAACAAATCTTTTAGTGGGTGCAACTGCTGCATTAAAATGTTGTATAACCAGTTAAAAATAACATTTTTTGAACCTGGAGTGTCTTTATAAATCTTATTCAGGGACAAACTCCTCCATAACAGACAAACAGAAGAGCAAAGAAATGTGTTCCTTTGTTTGGAGGAGTGTGTGCTGGCAGCAGAATATTATTCTGTGGCTGTTTAGTTTTTATCTTATTCCAGCATTAAGCAAGAAAGAGTCAACTAATAGAGAAGTTGTTATGTGTGCCTCTCTTGAAGCAGAGCCTTGAGATCTGCCATGGTGATGTGGAGGAAGAGGAATAAAGTTGGCATGGCTGTGAAGGCATGGATTATAGGATGCGAGCGTTCCGTATGGTTGGGTCAAAAATGAGGTCTATCTTCCAAGGACTGCTCCCAGGCATCTACTCCTCCATCTGCCACAGACTTTCCCCGTCACTGACTGTTATGGCCTACAAGCCACTCTCATCCGATTTAACCTTCTGTGGACTTTTCTGTCTAAATCATGTTTCACTTTGTCATTTACAAAAGGGTGTGTGTGTGTGTGTGTGGTGAACTGAAACCACTGTTGGTGTAATCTGTACGGCCTATAGGCGGCTTGCACGCTCGTGCTTTGGGTGACAAAAGCCTGGATGTGACAGTATTATTCTCCAAGCCTGTTTCAATTAGAGTCATTACACTAGACAGAGGATCAAGGACATGAAAGCAGCGCTGACGCTGTGGGTGTTTTTTTCCAATGAGGCCTAATTATGTGTGTGGGAGCAAGAGCGAGAGGGACTTCACGCCTCAACATGCTATGACATAACACTGGCTCTTTTATAAAAGCCATGTAGAGCATCACATGAGAAGATGGTCGGTGCATTTTCAGTGTGTGTCAACTCTTTAAGGCGCATACACACTTAGCATGCATCGTGCATAACTGATGAAATGTGTTTTGTTCATCAGAGCTGCAGCACATGCATGAAGTTTAAAGCGTGTGTAGCTGAAAGGAAAACCTGCGTTTAAGCACTTAGGGATTCTAGAATGGCAAGTAAGTTGCACAGCTCTGCCAAGGCCAAGCAATCCTGGTTGATCATCTACTTCTTGCAGAAGAACTAAAAAGCAAAATGAAGTCGTCCGATGACCTAAATTATTTATTTATTAGTCCTAAACAGGCGGAAATTAAGATCTATGCACTATACCCTGAAAAAAAAATGCAAATGTTGAGGAATTCCAGATTGCTGCAATGGTTATGAGAGTGAAAAATGATTTCTGTCATTGTAGCACAAAAGTTTTTAATGTTCCCTCTGCATCATGTCAAACAGGCTGCAGCTGAGCGAGCGTGATCCACGCCAACATACAGACAGTTTCTGCTCGTGCCAAAATGTTGTCATGCATCACACTCTGACTGAACGCCAAGTGGCTAATGACATTCTCCACGTTTTCAATTTTCACCCCTCACTGGTTCAGTGGCTCTGCAGCTGTGTGTCCTGAAATACACAGTTGCCCTCTCATTAAGAGATATGCTCCAAACCAAAGTGTGGGTTTTGCACGTCTGTATTAAAACAGATGCGTCTGTGGTGAGCTCACAGTATTCCAACTATACAAAGTGAACTAATCTGTGGATCTTGTGCAAGTGCAGCATTGATGCCAAAGTGGATAAATGGCAGCTCTGTTATGATATCCTGGCTGCCCTTCTGCTAGTGTTTCTATACATTTTCTACACATTGCATGATGAGTGGAGAGTTAATCTGCAAGTGTGGGGCTCTAGACACATAAACAACATCTTTGTCTGGACTAATAACCACTGCAATGGCACTTGGGTGAGTAAACGCATCAGATGAAGGCATTTAAATGAACTTTCTATAGCAAGTTATGAGGATTTCTAGGCTGCTGCTCCTGACGCAGAGTCTGACAGTGGTGGAGGTGCATGGATGTAGGTGGTGTTGGATGCTGAGGTTCAGAGAAAGAATGGAGCAGTGTGCCCACGCAGAGGCACCAGAGAAACATACCTGACTGGAGATGAGGTCCTCGCAGACAGAGAGAGCCATCTGGATCGCGTTGGGCTTGTGCGTGACGGAGATGGCGGTCAGCTTGAATTTGTCCCGGCCGTAGACCTGGTTGGCCTGGGTCACGGCATCTTTGAAGACCTGCTCGTACCTCTTCTGGCTCAGCACGGCCCCGATGTTCACGATCTTCGGCTCGCAGCCGGCCCGCGCACAGGAGCACCAGAAGAGCACCGCCAGCAGAAACAGACGCATCGTGCGCACCAGCAGACGGCACCGTGCAGCCCGGCCGCTATCCTCTCCGGTGGCGGGTCTGCTCGTCCGGCTTGTGGGCAGCAGCGCGGCTCAGCCTGCGGAATGCACGACTGCGGGCTCGATCCAGGTGGGCGGTGTGCGCGAGGGAGGGGGGTGCAAAAAGAAAAAAAGAAGGAAGCAAGGAGAGTGGAAAAAGATGTGGATTTATGTGCAATGCGGAGGAATGTGCACAAGCATATTAGGGGCAGGGTGTTAACCAGGGAACCGCATTGTCCACCTCCTCCTCTGCAGAATGGCTTAAACCTCCCGGTGGTTCTGAAGACAGAGTTGCAGCATCGTCCGAGCCTCCAGGCGGCTTCCTCTCCGGGGTGCGTATCGCTCCCTGTGGCCGCTGCTCGCTGCGCTGTGAGCGGACTGATCTATCTCTGTGTGGCGGGTCGCTCCTGGATGAGCCGCTGCTGCCGCTGTCCTTGGTGCTGACAGCTGTGCATGCGCGCCGCTGCGGTGGTGGTGGTGGTGCGCGCTCCCGCCGTATCAGCAGCTCCCCCCC